ATGGAGCTGGAAGCGAATTCCACAAGTGAAAAGTGCAAGAAAAGAAACTATTAGCACAGGATTTACAGTTACATCTAACCAGCTCACCTGTAAATTGATGAGATCTCGATGACACTCTAGTACTGCATTTAAATTTAAAAAGTCTAGGTACCATAGTGAAGAGCTCATTCAAACAATTACAATAAAAGTATTTATAGAAAAGGCAGAGAGAGGCAACTTTACAACAACTATACATTCTTTCTTATTACAATCAATGGTTAGTTCTTTCTTCCTGCTTTCATTTACTAACTCATCTAAGATTTACTGTCAGTTATCTTTCTGTGCTTGCCATCATCACAAGGACCATAGCATTTTTATTAAAAAAAACAAACAAAGAGCTAATAGCAAGTTCCTGTCCTGAATGTATCCGGCCATTTAATATTTAAAAAAATAAAATCATACTAGAGTAATGGTGCCTTATTTCTCTTCTGGGTACTCCACTTGGGACCTTGCATTTATCTCAGCAGCCTTTTTTCTTTCTAAAACATTAACAGAGATTTTTTTGTGGGGAATCACCATTAGATGCCTCATTTCCTTCTCCTTAATCTTGTCTATGATTTTTCAACAGAAATCTTACTGTTGAGAAAAGTTGCAGTGAGCCAAATCCGATGGCGGTAAAGGCATGGGTAATGATATGTTTAGCAGAATATCCCTGCTCAAGATATGAAAATTTCAGTCACTAAGTAATCCCACAGGAGAGTCTCCATACATGTGCAGAAAGGTCCCCTATGATCAGGCATATCATATATCATGGTTTAAGGGTTCTGTCTCAGTGATATGAGTTATCAGCATTCATTCTTTTGTTTCAGAACTGAAGTGATGTTAGGTTATAAAAACACTTTATTATATAAGAAAACTATAATAAAGCCCTGGAAATTATGGATAACCTACTTATGATTGGTTATTGAAGAACATTGCAATCATGCAAATAGTTCTTAAGATATTAAAATGGTTGGCTGACAGACTTCACATATAGTGTTCAAGGTAGGCTTGCTTGGTACATGAGGTCAGTCATATATTTGCCATCACTCTTCTTAGTACTTCAATCACATGAATTTAAATGTACTTCTGAATTGGCAATTAGGTCTCATTTTACTGTTGTTTCAGCTAAATGTCACTATAAGTTCTATTCTAATAGTTTTTTCTCACACTTCTTTCTTGTGGAAATCTCTTCCAGTTTCTTTCTTCCTTACCACCTACAATATTTAAATATTTAAATGAAATATCAATCACCACATTCTGTCTTCCTGAATCCTGTTCTTTTATTGTCTTTTCTCCACACTAGTTTTCTTGTTTTCTTCCATTGCCTGTAACAGTTCATAGAACTCAATTCAATTTTACTTGAAGAGTAATGCTTGATACAAGTAGTAGCTACTGTTTTTTAAAACCACCTTTTCCCCTAGAGAGCTCAGCTATCATAGTGGCTTTATTGCCTTTCTTGGGATGAAATGGTTAAAAAAAAATTGTGCTAGTGGTCAGAGTTTGAGTCCAGATAAAACCACAATATTTTACAGATGATCAATTTCATAAAATCATTATACCTTTTCTGATTTTGCTTATGCCAAAAGAAGATATGTAAATATATCCAATCATATTAAAAATTATATCTGATGATATAAACAGAAGAGTTCATTTTGCAACTTTGTTTTTGGAAAATTGTAATCTTTATCTCCGTATGTCAGCATCAATTTGCAGATTTTCAATCAACTCTACACAGAAATAAATACTTAGAAATGGCAGCACGAATAGAAACAACTTTCTCAATTAAATTTTATTTTTTACATTTAATTAACCTTGTTTCTAGTTTTTAAAACCCATGCAAACATCCCTTGTAACATTATATATTTTCAGCGCCTGAAACCTGAAGAGAATTCTGTAAAACCCCAGACAAGCCAGGAAAGGTTGATGTCGAAGAAGGACATTGACAGCTAAGAGTCCTCAAGTGTAAGTGAAGAAAAAAGGTTATCACATCAGTTGCTTATGGGATGCAATTACAACAGACAGTTCACAAACAGAATAAATATCTGCTTTTATGATCCCAATGGTGACAACGAAAGGCATCATCACTTTAATTAAAGAGGATTAATATATATATATATATATATATATATATATATATATATTTTAAATTGATATTTTCTTAAAATAAACTGTTGGGCATAATATTCATTTATTTTTCTTTGCTTGATATTTATGTAAACATTAATTGTTTCCCTTAATGTAAATTATGAACATATTTAAGGATGTTGAAGGTCATGTGAGAGGCAGATTATCATGAATAGAACACATAGCAGAATTAAACTGGAAAATGAACAAGAACAGTGTGTTTTTGTTAAAGGCACTGAAATAAGAAATGCAATATTTATGATCTGAAAATCTTCTAGGAATTTTTGCATTGATGCAGGTGCCCTCCCCTCCAGGGTTCTATCCTTGAACCAATGTTGTTCCTAATTTTCATCAATGATCTTCCTGATGGCATCAGTTTTTAACTCAGTATCTATACTGATGACACAACTATTTATTGCTGCCTTGCTAGCAAGTCTGAGCAGCTCAGTAAGTTCAACTTAGCAGCTGATCTAAAAAAAAAAACTACTTTCTGTTGTTAACTGGGACAAGCAATGGCTTGCTAATTTTAATGTCTCCAAAATTAAACTGCTCTCTTTTAATTGTGTGAGAGAACCCTTTTTACCTTCCATCAGCATGGCTTATGCGAACCTCCAGAGGAGTGATTCAGTGCACCTTTTTGGACTAATGTTTTCCACTCACAGGAAGTAGAAAGATTATATTGAATCAATTGCTAATTCTGCTGCTAGGAAATCTGATTCCCTGTGTCATGCTAAACAATTTTTCTTGCCAGAATCTATCTTACATATTTATAAATCTACCATTCATCTTGACATTGAATATTGCTGTCATATCTGGTCTGGTACTCTTTCTATAAATTTAGAGGTTCTAGATAAAATACAAATAAGAATCTACAATGGTAATGATCCTGACTTGGCATCTCACCAGTCACTTTTCAATCACCATAATATATCTTTCCCATGCCTTTTTCTAGTTTTTTCATGATAATTGTTCTGATGTTATATAGGGCCTAGACTTTATGAATTTAAGTGCACTACTAGATTGGCAGTAAGGTCTCATCATTTTACAGTTTAAATAGCTAGATGTAACCATAAGTTCTATGCTAATAGTTTCCTCGATTGCACTTCACACTTGTGGAACACTCTTTCAGTTTTTTGTTTCCCAGTCAACTTCGGTCTTCAAAAATTTAAAAGCAATGTCAATCATTATCTACTGTCTTCATAATTATTGCTGTTTTATTGTTTTCTCTTCTTAATAGTTTTTTTTTTCTCATATTCTCTAACACTCAGTAACCCTTTACATCTCAGTGGCTTTATTGCCTTTCTTAGGGGAAATGGTTTTAAATAATGTAATTAGATGTAATACAGATATATGCATTTGATGAAGTTTTACTTGAACTGCCAGGACACTTGATTTATTTGGGAAAGATATTAGAATAATTCAGTATATATACAAAGTAAAAAATTACCCGTAAACGGCTTAAATAGATCTCGCACCATTGTGATTGGTTGTTGGTCAATCTCCAATCAAATGTGAGATTACGGGGTATTCTTATAAAAGTCAGCACAAACAAGCATTATTCTTAGAGGGCGTTTCAGAGTCTGATCAGCTCTGAAAGGGTCGATTTGGTGAGGTCAGTATGATGTTTGAAAGACCCGAAACTGTCCAATGATCCTTTTCTAGAACATCACTGACGACGCCCCCTAGCGCTAAAGGAGCGTATATTCAAAGCAGAGAGCAAGCCACCTGCATATGAACAGAAAGTTAATTGTGTAAATACGCAAAAGAAGAATGGGGTGTAAGACAAAGATAAAATGCGTCTTCTTACTGAATTTATTCAACCTATATGTCGAGGTGATCCTAACTCAAAGTTATAACTGGATTTATTATCAGTGGACACAATCTTAACATAAGATACACAGATGAAACCATGTTGATGGCAGACACAGAAAGAAAACTACAGTAACTCCTAAACAAGTTAATAAAGGAAAGCAAAAGGAAAGCAAAAGGAAATGGTTATTCATAATTATAAGAAGAAAAAATGTATGGGCATTAACAGGATCAGCAATGTGAGCTAGAAATTGAAGACATCAGTATAAGGAAAGTTTAAAAATCTGGCAAGTTTGACAAAGAAATCTGAAGACCAATTAGAATAATGAATGATGCCTTCCAAAAGTTAAGTAAAGTATTAATAAACAGGAAAAGAAAAGAATGCTGCTGAGATGATATGTAATATCAATCCTCATCTATGACAGTGAATACTGAACAATTTCCTGAAAAATGAAGAGGAAACTTGAGACAACAGAGATGAAGCTCTAAAGAATGCTGCTATGAATACCATGGTTGAGTTATAAAAGCAGCAAGAAAGTTTTAATATTTAGCACTCTGCATCATTTTTAAATATAACCTCCCCTTTTACTGTATATGGAATCCCCTCAAAATATAGTCTTTTATATATTTGTTCTATAGATTTGAAATTGCAGTAGCCTGGAGCCCCCATTTCAATCAAGATTGTTTTAGGTGTTGCCATAGAAGGATATGACTACACAACCAAGAAATTCAAATTCAACTTGCATTGGCAGGATTAATATTTTACTTGGCAAAAACAGTCACCTACAGAGTGCTACAGGGGAACAAAAAAGTACTTTTACTTCAAGTCAGAAAGAGTTGAAATTTCTGGGGCTTAGAGAATTTGACACTCATAGGACATACTGAAGGCAAGAGGGTCAGTGGAATGAAGCACAACAAACTTATGTAAATGGTTGGCAAGACAGGGATAAAGAAAGATTGCAAAAAGACAAACTTTACTATGTGTTTCAATAAGATGTTACTAAAAGAAATATTCTTTAGGAACTGGAAAGAGAAGTATGCTTATAACCATATCACATTGAAACACTCTGTTCTCATCTGATCACCAAAGTTAAGCAACATCGAGCTTGGTCAGTATTTAGATGGGTGACCACTTAGGAATGCCGGGTGCTGTAAACTTGGAGATGTATGGGTGGTGTAATGGCTAGCAGCCCAGAATAAGAAATCTGAGAGCCAAGTTCAAATTCCTATGGAGTTTGTTACATTCACTTATGTCCACATATTCTTGAGAAAGGTATGCATTCACCTCTTTTCACCCCAGTTATGGGTTCAAGAGTAGGACTTGTATCTAGAAAAAGCATTGTTACAGTTACAAGTTTTTTCCAAAACTTCCATGATGCTCTGAGCCAGCATGGAAGAGAATGTTTCAACCAAAACAGATGGCAATGGCAAATAAACTCTGGAGAAAGTCATATGACTGCATATTCTGCTCTTGGTTGAGAGACTGTTCTATGATAATGATGATGATAATGATGAGAAGTAAATAAGGGCTAGAAATGAGTTAAGCTAAGCCTTATAGAATATGTCCATGTTGATAGTACATTCAGTGTCATCAGTTGTTGATCTCTTACCGGTGGTTAGAATATTGCAAAAGTCCACACATTCTGGGTTAATCTTTCAAGGCTTGAGTATAAAACAGACCTATGTCTAGATTTTGATTCAGGTGATATCTATGCTGACGACACTACTATTTACTCCTGCTTCAGTAGTATATCCAGCATCACTGACAAAACTAACCTGGCCATAGGCCTCGAGAAGGACCTACAATTTGTGGTTGACTGCTGTAGGAAATGGCTTGTAAACTTTAATGCCTCTAAAAGGAAACTGCTCTCAGTTACCCACCACAGAGAACCCTCCCTGCATCCCATCAGGATGGCTGATGTCCAACTCCATAAGAGCACCTCTCTGTGCCTGCTTGGTCTCATGCTGACCACTGACCTGAAGCTGAACAACTACATTGAATCTATAGCTTCATGTATCACAAGGAAAGTTGGTTCTCTGTGTTGCGCCAGAAGGTTTTTCTCACCTGAAGACATCCTTTAAATCTACAAATCAACCATATGTCCTTGCATGAAATATTGCTGCCATATAGGGTCTGGTGCTCCCACTATTCATCTCAAGATCCTAGATGAAATCCAGAGGCAGATATGCAACGTGATTGGTCCTGATCTGGCATCCCGTCTGCAGTTGTATCTCACAGACATGATGTAGCTTCCCTCTGTCTTTCTATAAGTACTGTCATGGCACCTGCTCTGACAAACTACTTTCACTGGTTCCCAAATTGCATGAATTTAAGCATGCTATTAGGTTGGCATCTCGGTTCTACCTTTTTGCTGTCAAAACAGTTAAATGTAGTCATCTCTTCTACTCCAACAGCTTGCTCCTCCCATCAGTGGAACTCCCTTCCTATCATTTGCTTCCCTGATAGCTATAATCTTCAAATATTCAAATGTAGTGTCAATCGATATCTGATGCCTTGACTTTGATCCTTGTCCTTCTCTTTATCCTTTTCCCAAACACTCCTCTTTACTCTTACTCTCACTATATGTAACCCCTTGCATACTAGTGGTGCCCCTGCCTTGCTTGGGGTGATTTGCTTAAAAGAAAGTGTAAGTTGGATTTTTGTTTACCTATCTAATAATTCATAGTGACTTTTAGTCCTATAAGTTTTATGTACAACATTAAATTAGAGTTGTTGCAAGACAGGAGGATTTCTTTGGTGACAAAGAAAAGAGTACTGAGCTGTTACGTGACATCTGTCCTCCTATATAGCAGAAAATGTTGGATGGTCTCCTCAAAGATGAAGAAGAGATCTGAGGCAGCGAAGCCGTGGTTCTACAGAAGGATGCTATCATTGAGTGAGCATGTGCGCAATGATGAGGTCTTGGAGAGGATGCAAACAGGGAGGAAGCTTATATTTAACATAAGGAAAAGGCAGATGAAATTTCTGGGAAACCTAATGAGAAAGGAGGGCCTGGAGAATCTGATACTCACAGGTTGAACAGAGGGAAAAAGAGACAAGGAAAAGCAATGCATGACATACGTGGTGGGCTTAACCAAGTGGATGGCAGAACATGGTTTGGGGGAGTTGGCAGAGGCAAAAAACTTATTAAGAGCTACAAGGGATAGGAGAATGTGGAGAGCCATGATTGCCTATGTCCTGAAAGAACATGGTACATAAAAAGGAAAGAAAGATGTTATTAAATTAATCAATATAACCTAACCATCATCAAGTGTTTGTACTAAAGAATATCTTACGATAGAAGTAACTTTTTCTCAGGCAACAATTATCAGTAATATTCCTTTACTTATTTCCAACCCGAAGCCTTCACAAAAGCAAACCTAGTTTTATGCGTGAAAGGGATTTGTAAGTATTTGTTTTCATCTTCTAATTCCTCCAAAACATTACTACTCACCCATGTTCAATGCTACTGAACGTAAATGTTCTTTCGGCAAATCCAAGGGGATTTGTTCAGAGCCATTTTTATTCTCAGTTAGATCCTGGCCACTTGACAAATTCATATTTTCAGAAATAAAACTCAAGCTTTGCCAACCTGTATGTGGCTATGAGTGTGACATATATTTTCTACCCCTTCACTAATATGCAGTTATCAACTTCTAAAAAAAAGCAACACTTATTTATGTTTTCATAACTTACCTGGTGTGCCCAACCCATTCTGAAAATATCAAGAAATTCTATGACCAAATGCACATTTCTCAATATCTTTAGGTTCCATCAAGAGCCATATGCATTCTATTTTGGAGTGAAATCTCCAGCTGCAAAAAATGTTGTTTTTTTTTTATGAGACACTTTTATATTCTTATCCTAATATTAGTCCAAACAAATGGTGAGAATGTCTTCTCTCTGAATATTTAAGCAGTGTTTATCAAATCAGTATGGATCTGAATTAGTTAAAAAAAAAAATGAAGACGGCTGCAAAAACTTTCTCATAAACTCAACCTTGTTTTGTAAACACCTAGCATTTCTTTGTAGATGCTATGGTTAGAGGGAATCTAATCCCCGCTGTTCTGACGGTCAGACTAAATACCAACAGCTGGATGGTAAATAGAATTATAAGCAGAAGAGGACATGCTCTAGTGAGAACAAGAATCTACCATAACTAGTTTTAAAAAAATCCAAAATAAAAATACCATCTCTCTGTGAAAGAAAAAAACTCTTTTCTGCTTGCTTTTTTTAGCAATGAGGATAAGGATATTAGTCTGAAGAGCACATAGAATAAGAAAAGAACTCTGCTCAGGCAAATGATGCAAAGACCATGGAATATGGCATGTATTTCTTTTAATCATTATGATACAATTGTTACATTTAGCCAGTAATGACAAAATTTATTAATCTTAATATTGACTTGATCAGTTTATACTGATCAAGTCAAGATTATGCCACTTTCCAGTCTCCTAGCTATAAATACTTTCATGGTAATTTTTCTGATGAACTTTCTGCTATGGTACTTAGAATGTATGAATTTAAGCACGGTACCAGATTGGCAGAAATGTTTTAACATTTTATACTTGAAATGGTTAAATGTATCTGTACATTCTATGTTAACAGTTTATTCTCTCACAGTTCTCATTTGTGGAACACTCGTCCAACTTCTTGTTTTTCAGTGAACCTTGATCTTCAAAAACTTAAATTCAATATCTGTTGTTATCTTCTGTTTTCTTAATGCCTGTTCTTTTATTGTACTTGTTCCATAATAATTTTTTATATCTTTTCACACTTAGTAAACCTTTGTCTTAGTGGCTTTATTGCCTTACTTGGGGGTGAAATAATTGAAAAAAAAAACAATAACTATAAAATTAATTTTTGTCTGATTTGTTGAGATGGGGAATTATCATTATTATACACAAATTTACCCAGGCTCATATCCTCATCTTGGATGTTATTCACTCGGAAATAAGGATAAGGATATTAGTCTGAAGAGCCTATGGAATGACAAAAGAACACTAATCAGCCAACTGAGACAAAGAAAGAAAATATTAGTATGGAATATAACACTAATTTTTTGAATCATGATGATCTTTTTCTATGTGCCGTGTCTCTTCACGATGTTGGTGATCATGGCTCTCCATGGTTCCCTGTCCTTTTCAGCTTTTAATAAATTTTTGTCTTTTTGTTATCTCTCCTAATCCCTGTACTACCAATCATTTACACAAACTAGTTAGATAGATTATGCATTTTTTCCTCTGGACCTTTTGCCTTCTATATGTCCTGCGAGTATCAAATTCTCCAAACCCTCTTTCCTTATTTTGTACTGTAGAAATTCCAACTTTCTCTTTCTGATGTTATGCATAGGTGTCCTTTTTGTTTCCATTTTTATAAATTTTTGCTGTTGCTTACATTTTCAATCCATGGTATTCTCAGCATCCTTCTGTAGATCCATATTTCTGTTGATTCAAGTCTCTACTTCATCTGCGATATATATGTGTGTGTGGTGGATTCTGCCATCATATTCGACATATGAGGGTCAAGCAGTTCAGATCCTAGGAACTGACAGCCCAGACACCAGCACATATGATTTGTTTATAGTGGTGAGGGTTTTGTGCAGAATCAACCAAACTTTTTGAAGGGTCGAATACAGAGACCTGATGCACTACGTGCCACAAGGTCTCCAAACGCCTCTCTGCAGGTTTTGAATTCAGTGTTGTCCTCCTCCTTGACCAGTTGCCAATTAAGGCTATAGAACTGTCCTAGAGTCTGTCCTACTATTTACACATAGCTGCAGGGAGAAGGAGTGGATTAATACCTTTCCCAAGGGTATTAGCACATAAATTTCGACCTCGGCTCTCTGATTCCTCAATCCGAGCCACTATCCACTATCCACTACTCCACCATGCCTCCTATGTGTGTGTGTATATATATATATATATATATATATATACTATTGTATCATCAGCATAGATGTCTACAAAAGATCAGGTTATATGCTTTGACTGATCATTTATATAAAGTAGAAAGATAGTAGGACCAAGAAGGGAGTCTTTAGGGATGCCTGTGTTGATCACTTGTGCCTCAGAGGACTATCCATTAACAACTACCATTAGGTAAGACATGATAATTGAGAAGACCCAGTAATTCCATAGCTGAAGAGCTTTTG